TCTGGCCTTGATTCTTGCCCCCCGCCAAGCTACCCAGGCTTTCCCTCAAATCATGCTCCTGTTGTTCCTAGGATGGGGCCCACAGTCATGTTTCATTTTAGCCTGCGTTAGCAATGAAAAGTGAACATAGCCCATGTGGTCTCGTGCTCGCCTTTGCATTTCTAAATTCGGGGGGCCAAATAGGCAGGAGGTGTATGAAGGAAGGAAGTGTCCAGAACAGACATGGCCCCTGCCTGTTTCTGCCACTATTTGAGTCACTATTGTGATGTGTTATCTTCAAACAGCTCTGGCTTACCTTTCTTTTCTGTCCAAATCAGTTTTAGTTTGTTCATTTGGCTGGGACCCTCAACTGTCATTCTGACAGTGAAATAGCCCTGATCCTGTTAAGAATAAATAGGACTTGTGGTCCCCTATGGGCTTGAGCTTCTTTTCTAGAGGTCATGAGATGGTAACCAAGGTCACTCACAATCTCCAGGAACTGATTTTCATGACTCGATACCCCCAGGCCTGAGAGCCTCCTTTCCCCACTCACTGACCTGCCATTCATGCTGATAAACTGTGCCCCTCTCTCCCCAAGCTCCCAACACACTGAAAGTGCCTTCTATCATCAGCTTGTTATTCAAAACCTATTTTTTTAACCCTTACCCAAGGATAAGTTTATTTGAGAGAGAGAGGAAGGGAGAGAGAAAGAGAAAGAAACATTGATTGGTTGCTCCCGTATGCACCCCGACTAGGGATCGAAACTGAAACCTAGGTATGTGCCCTGACTGGGGATCAAACCTGCAAACTTTTTTGGTGTATGGGACTGTGTTCCAACCAGCTGAGCCACGCAGCCAAGGTAAATCCTATTTTTAATCCAAGGGGAGCGTGTAAAAGCTTAAGAAGAAAAACTGAAGAAATGCAGAGCACATAACAGACACAAGAAGCAGCTGTGGTCATTCTTACTCACATTAGTTCTGCACCATAACTACTTCTGGCTGATGGGAAAAGTTTTTAAAACAACTAACAGTAGTCAACACTTAGTGGGTATTTTCTCTGTTCCAGATGCTAGTGTAAACTTTACAAATATTAACTCATTTAGTCCTCCCAATAACCCTATGAGGCAGTGTTTTCAGAGGAGACTGAGTCACAAAAGGGTTAAGTGACTTGCCCAGATACACACAGCTCCAGGATGGCAGAGCCTGTGGCAGAGCCTGTGGCAGCAACGGTTATACTGCCTTGTGCAAATTACTGTACCACTTCTCAGAATAATAGCAAACAGTTCACGAAACAAGTCTTATGAACATTTTTGTAATCCTCACCTGAGGACATGCTTATTGATTTTAGAGGGGAAGGGAGGGAGAAAGAGAGGGAGAGAAACATCGATGTGAGAGAGGAGCACCAATCAGTTGTGTCCTGTGTGAGCCCTGACTGGAGATGGACTGAACCCGCAAACTAGGCATGTGCCCTGACCGGGAATTGAACCAAACCCGTGACCTTTCAGTTTACAGGACGACACTCCAACGAACTGAGCCACACCAGCCAGGGTATGAACACTTTTTATGCATTAGTTAATTTATATTTATAACAACACTGTAATTGGGCTGTTTTATCTGGTATCTTATAGCCTTATAGGAATGAGGTTTTAAAAATAATTTTTGAAAAAATAAATGCTAAAATTCATTTATACAAAAAACAAGTATCAAAATATAAGTAAATAAATAATTTATTTAAAGATCGAAATGAAAGATTTTTTTCCTGAACGCTGGGGCCAAAAACATGGGTGTACATTATACACAGCAAAATATGGTATACAGATATCATCTAGTTTGAGGACACGTATGAGAATAAGTAGTATAGGGTTGGCTTCATACTCTCACTTTTTAAAATCATAAAAGCACAGGATATTCCAGATGCATTTTTTTTTAAATCCTCACTTGAGAATATGTTCGTTGTTTTGAGAGAGAGAAGGAAACATGGATTTGAGAGAGAAACATCAATGGGTTGCCTCCAGTATGTGGCCTCACCTGAACCTACAACCTACATATGTGACCTGACCTGGAAATGAACCCGCAACCTTTTGGTGTACAACATGATGCTCCAACCACCGAGCAACCCAGTCAGGGCCAGATGCATTTCTTTATGATTGTATGATGGCTGTTTTGATTCATTTAATGAATTTATATATAGTAGTGGTTTACTATGCAAGGATAATTTAAAATCAAACATCGTGTCACGTCTTTCACGCTGGGATTTCTGTCCAGTTTATTTACAGGTAGCTTATCACGATGGTACTAATATGCCAGTCTTCACAAGGATATGTCCTACAAAGTCACTCTACACTTCTAAGGTTTGCACCTTTGATTTATGGCTCAGCCATTGACATCTTAAAATTCTTAATAAATTTTTAATAACACAATTGCATTTTTATTTTGTAGTGGGCCTGCCAATTATGCAGCTGGTTCTCGGTAGCAAAGCAAATTTATGACTTATTAAAAGTCTATACTTCCCTTGGGCTTCATTACTTTTTTAGCTTCAAAAATAGAGTTGAATAAAAACCCTTATAATAGCAGTCACCCTCCATGTTTCTTATTATTAATGATAAAGAAAAAGTAGCTCAACAATTATACCCATTTTTTTTTTGGTATTTTACATATAGTAATAGTATCCTCTAACACAAAAGCATATAAGAATATCTGGTTTTAATTACCAGGCGAATCTGATATGTCCCTATTTATTTATCTTTATATGTCAACTATTTTAAAATTCTTTAACCTCAGGTTTATTGCACAGCTTATTTTTCATACTTTAAATATACTAAGGAAAACCATATTAGGAATGTTATTTCTACCTTTCAAGCTACAAAACATTTTTTATTCTTTGTTTTCCTTCCCTTATTAAGTATAATTGTGGAAAATAAGATTTTTATTCGAAATGGTATTTTTGAGAATTAGAATACTGCTTAAAGTAGTCTTTAATCCTTTTTTGTTTCCTCTCACTTCATATTTTTTATACTCAAGAAAACAAATTATATATTATAATTTAGAGAAAATCACATCCTGCAAATCTATAGTCTATAAATGTTATTCCAAAAAGCTGATTAAAGATTAAACATGGATTAAAATGTGTATGTAGTAATCAGAATTACAATAATATCTAATATATATTTGTATTCATCGTGTAAGGCATTTTTTCAAAGAGCTTTCCATATATCAATTCCATATCAGTTCCTTTGATCATCACAAAAACTGTATGTGTTAGGTGTGATTAGGTATTTTAGATGATAAAACCAAGTCACAAAAGTGTAGTCACTTGTCCTCATATCTGGAATTATGCATTGTACAGAGAAGATACCTGACCTACAATATTAGATAGAAAACAAATAGAAATTTTCAAACATCCTTTTTTTGGTTTTAATCAATAAAACTACTTACTTGTTTACATACTTTTGGATTTGTTTCTAAGTTCCCAAAGTACCAACATACAGAAGATCTGAGTAACAAGATCTATGCAGCTATTCACAAGTTTTAAGTTAATAATTTTACAATAGTTTATTGAATAAATGTGCACTATGGGCTATTATTCTTCCACATGGATTGCTAACACTCAATGGCTGTTAGAAATAAAGGGATATTTGGGAACCAAAAAAAATTTTCTTTTGAAATTTTAACATATGGATATTGTAAAAACAACAACAAAGCCCAATTCTGGTGGTGAGACAGTATCTCTCTCTGGCACCTCTGACTTCCCTGTGACTTCTTCCCATGATGTTTCTTTGGAAGCTGAGTGGTGGGATGAAGGGCAGGGCTTTGTCCAGGGAGGGTCAAGGTGAATGGGAAAGGTACTGATCACAGCACCCTTTATGGCAAAGTGAATGTGGAAAAAACCCCAGTGCTGATCACAATAGGGAACCAGCTCAGTAAAAATGTCACCCTTGAGCTCTCTGGGCTTCAGATTTCATCATCTGTAAACTGGGAATAATCATAGGTCCCAAAACATTCAGTTATTAAGATTAAATAGATTAATACATGTAAAACACCTTGAACAGTGTCCAGCACATTGTCCAATAAATATTAGTGATTATACACTTTTGCAGTGAAATAGTTTCTTCTTCAGCAGTCATGAAATAGAAGGGTATTTAGTATCCTGGAAAGACACCGGTAGCTCAGTTACCTGGCAAGGGAGGCGCCAAATCTATAAAATACAGTGTGGTCTATTTTTGTTAGGACACAAAAAAAGAGCAATACATCCTTTGGATATGTCTCCCCGTTTCAGGTGGCTTTAGAACATTTTTCAGATCATAGTATTTGTGATAAAAGTGTAAAAAATAAAAGTGTAAAAAAAAGTGTTGAGAATTATATCAGTTGATGTTAAGATTTAATAGGAAGCTACTAAACCTTTTATTTCAACTTTGTAAATTGTATATCCTGACTACGTTAAGATGAATAGAGAGGCGTTTTCCTGTTGAAGTCGAAATAAGGATGATTCAGATAGGTTCCCGGAATTGCGCCTAATTGTTCAGCGATTCACGCCCATACCGTTTCCTGGGAGCGCCAAACCCAGCGCCACCCCCGCTCCCTGCGCCCGCGCGCGCGCTCTCGCTCGCGCGCGCTCTCTCTCTCCCCCCTCACGGAACGGACTGTTCTCATCCTGGGGGTGTCTAGAGGCCCATCAGTTACTCTAAGAACGGGTAAACTTTGTAACGCCCTCGGCATGTGAGATTGTTTTATTCTATGCTTCAAACCTTGCTTGGCCAAGATTGTGCTACTGAAAAGCTGCTTATACACCACTCCTTTAAAAGAAAATCATGTTTCTTTTTTTGAAAGTCGTATTCGCGTACTCTCCCCTGTTCCTGTGGCCAGTGGACATTATTCTTGTGTATACAAAAACTGCCATTAGGGACTGCGGGTGGATTGCATTTAAGGGGCGGAGCCTCCGCCCTTGTGACGGAAGCTACTGTACCGTAGTGCGCCTGCGTGGTTCTTCCAAGCTCTGGGGAAGATTCCCATCCATTCGCTCTACGTTTGGCAGCTCTTCCTGGCAGCAGGCAGCCATCTTGCCGGGAGCCTGAGAGAGGGAAAGGAGACACAAGGAAAGGGCGACACTGGTCTCAGGGCCGCCCCGGGGGCCTCAAGAGCCGGAGGCAGCCCCGGAGGTGGTCCCTGATCCCGGGCCCTGTTCTTGGACCCGAAAAGGGAAGGCGGGAGGGCGGTGGGGTCAAGATGGGTGGGGAAGGACAGGGGTTGCTAGGCTGGGGGAGGAGTGTTGCTATGGCGACCGGGGAGTGGCAAAGTCAGGTCAGAATCGCTGCTGTGAATCTTCCGGGAGCTGCTAGAGCAGGTCTGGGGTGTTGACCATGCTAACAGCCGGGTGGGATTTGACATCACGGCGTGCAGGGACTCAATGTCTGTGGAAAGGATCACCTGGCAGAAGGGGCGGAACTAGACCCCTTCAGTTGAGACGCTGACATTCCAGGCCCTTATCCTGCAGGCGCCCGCGGGCGGATACGGCGGAAGAGGAGGCCGGGTAATGGCCGCGGTGTGGCAGCAGGTCTTAGCAGTAGACGCGAGGTGAGACGTGGGGTCAGATCCCACGGGAGCGGAAGTTACTGTGGTGCATGCGCAATGGTGATAAGTGAGGCTTGGCGGGGAACTTTATGAGCTGCGTGGGCATGCTGGAGGTGAGCATGCGCAGTATCAGTGAGATGAGCTGGCCAGAGAGGGTCCTAAAGAGCATGCTGGGGAAATGCAGTCATATGTGGGCATGCGCAAAAAGCTGTGTTATTTAGAACCTTTGGGGGAGGGGGAGGTGATGGAGCTCAGGCTGGTGGCATCCTATTTCCCACCATTGCTCGCCAGACTTATCTTACTACCATCATTTCCCCAGTCAGACCCCATCACCATCCCCTACTGACCTCCACCATTGCCCCACACTAACCCCCATAACCATGTCAGACTGATCCTTACTATTGTGTACACTGACTCAGTCATCCCATACCAACTTAAGCAAGGCTGCAGACTGCCCCATTGTCCCTACACGGACCTCATTTCCATGTCCAGCGTTACCGAAGACTCTCCCTTATCACATTAGCAAAGGAACCCCCATCACCACTGCTGATCACTTGCCATCCTGACCCCTACCTGCCACCCACCTCATTCTCCTTCCCTATCCCCTGAGCTGATTGATTCCCTCTGTCCTGTGCCTGCTGCTCGCCTGCCTCCTGCCGTCGCAGGTACAACGCGTACCGCACACCAACGTTTCCACAGTTTCGGACACAATATATCCGACGGCGCAGCCAGCTACTGCGGGAGAATGCTAAGGCTGGGCACCCCCCAGCACTGCGTCGGCAGTACCTGAGACTGCGTGGGCAGCTCTTGGGCCAGCGCTACGGGCCCCTCTCCGAACCAGGCAGTGCTCGTGCCTATAGCAACAGCATCGTCCGCAGCAGCCGCACTACCCTTGACCGCATGGAGGTGAGCTCCCTCCACACCGCCTGCCATGCATACCATCTGCCTCCATGTATATTCACTCAGCAGACTTGTCAAGCACCTGCTATGTGCAGGGCATTGTTCCACGCTGTTAGGTTGAGCAGAGGACAAAAAGAGATAATATATGAATTAAGTCAATAAACAGACAATAAACAAGATAAACAGGTTGATAAGTATGAAATAAAGATAATAGGTCAGTAAACATAGCCAACCAGATAAACAAGTCAATAATTTCCATGGCTTATAGTGAGGCATGCTAAGAAACAAAAATAAAGCAGACCTGAGGGAATAAAGCAGGATTGGTGTGGGGGACAAAGGGAGGCTATTTTTGGTGGGTATTAAGAAGGAAATCCTCTCTGGGGAGTTGAAAATTGAGCTGAGACTTGAATGAAGCAAAAGACTGAGCTGCGTGGTTTTCTGGGAGACATTCATTCTTTGTTCAGAGAACATTATCTATTGAGTGGAGCAAGGGTGGGAGAAGGGTAACTAATGCAGAGGCCACCAGAGATGGTGGTGGCACTGGATGGGGTGACAAGGGATCTGGTTCTGAGTATATTATTAAGGCTCCAGACCTCATAGGTTCTTGAGGGCTGTTTTCAAGATGCGCCCACCCTGACCCCCTCTGTTCACAGGACTTTGAGGATGATCCTCGGGCCCTGGGGGCCCGTGGACACCGCCGTTCTGTCAGCCGAGGCTCCTACCAGCTGCAGGCACAGATGAACCGTGCTGTCTATGAGGACAGGTATGTACCAGGGGAAGCTCAGGGCTGGGGGTTTGTGAGGAGGAGAGGAGCCACCTCCTCTCACCTCCCACTCCTGTTGGGGCCCAGGCCCCCTGGCAGCGTGGTGCCCACATCAGCAGCAGAAGCAAGTCGAGCCATGGCTGGAGACACATCGCTGAGTGAGAACTATGCCTTTGCGGGCATGTACCATGTTTTTGACCAGCACGTGGACGAGGCAGGTGAGCCAGTAGATAGCAGGTCCCATCACCACAAATTGGCCCAAATTGTGACAACCACCCAGTGTATCCTCTTCTGGAACACAAAATCTCTGGCCCAACTCTGAAGGAGGAATTGTCGTCCGTAAACTCTTTCACAAACCTAAAAGTCCTATACAAAGTGGTCTGCAAAATCTCAGGTATTTTGTCTGTCATAAAGGGGCTCAGCAGCTTTAAAAAAACCCTTTGCAGAGGGCTTCTGGGGTTATGAGTCACTTGAACAAGTTCAAAGCTTTTGCTGCAGAGAAATCCTCTTGCAAAGGGCAGGGTGGGTCTTGCAAACTGCTAAGACCTAGGTAATTGTAAAGTGCTTGCTGACATGTGGAGGCCTTTTCACATTGCAGAACTCTTGCAGTCCATAAAGCAACTGCTAAGATGTAGGGAGCTTTTGGCAGAGGGCTTTCTGGGGTTCCAACTCCCTTTCTCAGTCAAGGAAAGCCCTTTGCTGAGACCACTGTGCCTGGTGCGGTGGGTTCCTCCTGTCAGCTCACACATCAGAACCATTTATTATCAAAAATCATCTGGTGAGTGTACTGACTCCCACAAGTGGCTCCTTGGCATTGCAGTCCCAAGGGTGCGCTTCGCCAATGACGACCGGCACCGCCTGGCCTGCTGCTCACTTGACGGCAGCATCTCGCTGTGCCAGCTGGTGCCCGCTCCACCCACTGTGCTCCATGTGCTGCGGGGCCACACGCGCGGTGTCTCCGATTTCGCCTGGTCCCTCTCCAATGACATCCTCGTGTCCACCTCACTCGATGCTACTATGCGCATCTGGGCCTCTGAGGACGGCTGCTGCATCCGGGAGATCCCTGACCCTGATGGCGCTGAATTGCTCTGCTGCACCTTCCAGCCAGTCAACAACAACCTCACTGTGGTCAGGCTCCAGGGCGCCCGCTGACCAGGGGTGGGGATGCTGAGCCAGGAGGGCTGTTCTAGGGCATCAGTACTGGGGGGAGGGTCACCTCTAGTCAATCGCCACAGTCCCCTGGGATTCAGACTCAGAGGGAAAAAAGTCAAAATGAGGACATGCAGTTCTTAGTCTGGGATAGCCTCTGGTAGACTACAGGGATGGCTAGTCAGGGGGCGGGGTCATGGGTCTGCCACTCCTTTGGTCCTATCAGCAGTAGTCGTACTGTTTTTGAACTGCAGGGGCTGCTGGTTGGGGAGCAGGGTTCCTAGTTGGAAACCTCATCTTGTCTCAGTGGAAAGCCCACTGTGGTCCGACCCTAGGATAGAGAATCAGAGGGTGGGCAGTGGGGGAAGGAGATGAGAAGTCTGGCCTGGCCCTGAGCAGGGAGTAGAGGGGAGCTGGCCAAGCCAGCCTGTGCTCGGGGGTCCTCTCAGTTGTGGCAGCCGCAGCAGCCCCAGTGTAATCGAGGCTCCAGGAAGGACCAGCCAGGGAGTGGATGAGCTATTATCATGGGCCTAGAATGGCCCTGTGCTTTGCTGAGCCCGTGACCCCTGTAGTCCCTGCTACAGCTGTCTACTCTGGTCATATTGTAAGAAGGGCTGGCTTGGGCCTGGGTCGCCTCTAGGTTGCCCACCATGGCTCCACTGTGATTAAATTTCAGTGGGGAGAAGCAGGTCCCATTAATAGCAGCCCCTCTGTGGTCAGACTCAAGGAGGGACTGGCTGGGAGCAGGATGATGGTGTGCAGGTCTCACCCACAGGTGGGGAATGCCAAGCACAACGTACACGTTATGAACATCTCCACGGGAAAGAAAGTGAAGGGTGGCTCCAGCAAGCTGACAGGCCGCGTCCTTGCTCTGTCTTTCGATGCCCCTGGCCGGCTGCTCTGGGCGGGCGATGACCGAGGCAGTGTTTTCTCCTTCCTCTTCGACATGGCCACAGGTAGGCAGGCCCCAGGCCTTCATCTGAGTCCTTGTAGTCCTGCCCTCCTGTAAGCCCGCTCCCTTACTTTGGTCTCCTCTCCCCTCCATTGTTGCAGGGAAGCTGACCAAAGCCAAGCGTCTGGTGGTGCATGAGGGTAGCCCTGTGACTAGTATCTCCGCCCGCTCTTGGGTCAGCCGCGAGGCCCGGGACCCCTCACTGCTCATCAACGCTTGCCTCAACAAGCTGCTGCTCTACAGGTGCGTCTCCCCTATCCAGCCGCCTGGAGATGTAGGGCCTGCCACCTCCATTGGACTGGGGGGGGAGGCCTGCCTCCTTCATCAGGCTGATGTCACCAAGCAAAGAGATCCAGTCTCCTCCCCTTCCTCCTCCTCCTCCTCATCACAATATAATGATGAGCTCAATAGTAGCAGTAATAGAAATGGCAGTAGCTAGCACTTAGGTAACAGTTGCTGGTGCCACCTCCTAATCATAGCTTCTCAGATATATCACCTCATCACCTCATTTAATCGTAACAACCCTGTGAGGTGGGTGCTGTTATGTCCATTTTACAGATGAACAAAGTGAAGTATAAAATGAACTAGGACCCCTTAGAACAGTAACCTGTTTTCTTTTTTTTTTTTGTTTGAGGCAGACAGTTTACCGTCCCCACTCACACGTATCATGTTACCCAAATGCAGTTCTCATGAGCCACATGCTGGAATGACCTGAAGGGCTTCAAAAGTCATGACCAGGCCCCAATCCAGGTCAGGGATTTCAGAAGCTCTGGGGCAGGCTGGGCATTAGTATATCAGAAAGCTCCCCAAGTGTTGTCTAGCCAGGTCTGAAAACAACTGCCTGACAGGGTGCTTGCCATTTTGCTATTTTATTTTTCTTCCCCTTTTAAAAATTGTATACACACACATTTATAATTTTTAATTTAAGTATTCTCTTAAGTTTCTGCCTCTCTCCCCCATCCTCTGCCTTCTCTCTTCCTCCTTCTTGCCACCTTGGCCGCCACCTGCCGTAGTTAAGCATAGTAACAACTTCATATGTACTGTTCCATACTTTGCTCCATTTCCCACAGTCCTCAGCATGCACACATCCACACATTTCTGGGGGAGGGTCATTATTTTACAGAAGTGGGTTCCTTTTACGTCCCTTTCCACATCTCACTTTTCTCACCAGATGATGCCCATGGACATGCTGCAGGTGACCTGCAGTAGCTTCGGTTTGTTCCTTTGAACAGCCGTGTGGTACCCACAGGAGAGGGGTGCCAAAATTTGACCAGTCATTTCTTTTCTTTGTGCGCATCTGAACACCAGAGCTCTTAGAGACCCTTAGGAAGAGAAACTAGTGAATTACATTGCAGAGGCTTCCTATTTATATCAACAGATAAGAGTGTCCAGCCTGTCACTAAACCATGCACCAGCCCTTGCTTTATGAGTTCATGCCGTTGTCCCAAAATGGGATTTAATGAACTTGGAAAAGAGCTCAGGCACAGGGGTGGGGACACAGGCTAGCGCACCGTACATTCTCCTCTGGGCCGAGGCTGTGCCCTGACCTGCTCTCATTCTCCCCTCAGGGTGGTGGACAATGAGGGGACCCTGCAGCTGAAGAGAAGCTTCCCCATTGAGCAGAGCTCACACCCTGTGCGCAGCATCTTCTGCCCCCTCATGTCCTTCCGCCAGGGAGCCTGTGTGGGTGAGTGCCATACGGTTAGGGTGTCTGGGTGACCCGGGAGGGGCAGGCACTGGGGCCGGTGCTGAGATGGCTCATATATCACGACACCTTGATGCCCTGACTTCCTGGGCCTTGAGACCTGTCACACCCCAACAGCCTTCCATTCGGAATACAGAGCTCCAACCAGCCTAGGAACCTCACAGCGTGAGAAACAGACCTCCCAAAGATCTCAGGGACCTCACTTTCTAGACACAAACCCTAAACAGCTAGTTAACCTCCCATCTAGGTAGGGCCCCCCCAGCCTCCCCAGGCATGCTGGGACCCCACACCTTGGACATGACTCCCTCAACACCTGAGTTACTTCAGGGACTTCACACCTGGGACATCCCACCACCACCTGCAACACCTCCTGATGGCCTCTCCTTCTCACCTGGGCAGTGACCGGCAGTGAGGATATGTGTGTACACTTCTTTGACGTGGAGCGGGCAGCCAAGGCTGCAGTCAACAAGCTGCAGGGCCACAGCGCCCCTGTGCTGGACGTCAGCTTCAACTGTGATGAGAGCCTCCTGGCTTCCAGTGACGCCAGCGGCATGGTCATCGTCTGGAGGCGGGAGCAGAAGTAGGAGCCTCCCGGCCCCGCCACGTCCACCTTCCCACCCGGCCCACGCTCCAGCCTTGTGTTCATAAATAAAGTTCCTATGCTTCTGCCGATGGCTGGCTCCCAGGGCTGCTGGGGGCAGGATAGTGGAGAGGGCAGCTCTAGGACCCAAGATGGCGTGGGCTTCACTTATTCATTCACTCATGCATGTATTGGTTTATTCCTTCATTCAACAACCATTTACTGAATATCTGCCATGTCATAGGCACCACTTTAAGTGTTTTACAGCCATGCATTGGACACACATTACCGAGTATCTGCTGTGTGCCAAGAACTGTTCTAGGCTCTGGGGGTACAGCTGTGACCTAAACTGACAGAAATCCCTGCCCTCCTGGGGCTCACTTTCTAATGGAAGCAGGTAGGTAACAGAAATACTTACTAGGTCAGCTAAAAATGAGTGTTGTGAGGAAAAATAAAGTGAGGACAGGAGATACCGTTGCAGGAGTGGGAGGTTGGGCTCTTTTTGAGGCTGTGATCAGGGAAGACATTCCTGACTGTTAAATTCAAACAGACCTGAACACAGCAAGAAAGGGAGCTCCAGCACGTGGGGGAGAACAACATTCCAGACACAGAAAAGGCAGTGCAATGGCAGTGAGTCTGGAGGGTGCCGGAGGGGTGGGTATAGGGGCTGTTGTGAGAGGCGATGAGGTTGGCTAGGCCTGATCCTGGAAGGTTCTGTGGACCACGGTGAGAACTTAGGCTTTTTGTCTGAGTGAGGGGTGAGTGCCTGGACAGTTTTGAACACAGGATTCCTCTGGGTGCTGTGAAGAGAACACACTGGGGAGCGAGGGTGGAAGCAGAGGGACCAGTGAGGAGACCCTGCAGTAGTTGAAGCAAGCATGACGGGGGCCAGCGCCAGGGTGCGGGCAGTGGTGGGACTGAGGTGGTGAATGTTGGCTTCTACCACAAGTTTTCATCCTATCAGTTTGCAGGGCTCTGCTGCCTCAGTGAGGCCCAGGCTCCCCCTCACCCCAGGGCAGCTGCTGCCTGGCCCCACATCTGTCTGTGCATCGGGTTGTTGCACAGACAGGCATGGAGCAGAGGCCTTGGAATACATGCCGGTGCGGGACCAACCATGGGCTCAAAGGCTGAGCGAGTGGCTTCTGCTTGGAGTGGGGGGAATGGGACTTGTCTCCGCCCCCAGAGGAAGCTCAAACCGCCCATACCGCCTATCATGCCCATTCAGGGCCCAAAGTCAAGGTCTGGAACTGCTCAGAGGCTACCGAATGATGTTTAGTATTTGAGGGGAGCCCTGAATGAGGAGAGAAAGCTTGGAGTATAGATGGGGATAGAGAACCAAAATCCCTTGTCAATGACCTGAGTCACCAGGAAATGTCCAAGTGGCCAGAAATGTCTGAGTCTCTTGGTCCAGCTGCCCCCTTCCCTTCACCTCCATAGGTTGACATGTTCAGATGCATCAGTGGGAAGTGCGGCTATTACCTTGAGACCTCATGGTCAGTCCACAGAGGCACGGAGACTCCCACCTGGCCCCACATTGTTGAGCTGCTGAAGTAACACCAGCAGTCTTGTTGAGGAAGGAAAATAATCTGCTTGTTCAAGCCACTGTTATTTGTGCAGTTACTTCATCTAGAAGCATCTCTACCTGATAGAGCAGGTCCTTGAAAAATGTTTTGTTGTAATGTCAATGAAATGTCATAGCAACTTAACTCTTCTATCAATTAGCTTATGGTAAACTTGATTTCATGATATGTCGTTTCGCTTAAAGTCCAGACCCTATCGACAATCTGAGAGACTTTAAGGTAAATGGTGATGAGATGGGGACATCAGAGGTCTGGACTGTTCATGATCAAGATCATGCGTGCATGTGTGTTGAAGGTCCTCAAGACCACCCAGACTCAGTGATTTGCTAAAAGGACTCAGTCTCAGCATATACAGGGCAATGATTTCCTGCAGCAAAAAGATACAGAGATCCATCAGCAAGGGAAAATGCCCATGGGGTGAAGGCCAGGGGATACCAGGCACAAACTTCCAGGGATCCTCTCCCAATGGAGTTGAACAGGACATACTTAATTTCCCCGGTCCTGGGTTGTGACATGTGGGAAGCATTGCCAACCAGGGAAGCTCCTTAAGAGACTCAGCATTCAGGGTTTCTATTGGCAGCTGGTCACCTAGGCAGCCCCTTCGTGGCACAAACACAACTTGCAGACTCCGAGAAGGGAAGCAAGTGTTCAGCATAAACCACAGTGCTTGTATGAATAGTGAGAGAATGGTGGGAACCCTTCTGAAGTCTTAAGTTTCCAGATGGCCAGCTAAGGGCCAGCCTTGAAGCAGACCTTTCCGAGGACAGTGCTCTCGGTTAACTGTTCTGCCCAGGACGCAACACCAAAAAGATGCTCGGTTTCAGCGAAGGTCAGTGTATGGGCAAGATCATTTGGGAGAACTGAATTTTTCTCTTAACACTTTCTTTTCTTCACATTCTTCATGTTCTTTACTGAGTCTGGATTCAAGATGGCTGATTATGGATATCGTTATACATGACTCTGGGGGTGTTCTCATTGTGAAATTCTGAGGTGGCAGAGCTGACGTCCTGTTTTAAAGTCGTCTTCATGATATCTTTTCTTGACTTACAACCTAAGGGGAAATAAATAATGAGCCTATAGTAAAACTAATCTTATTGGTCAAATTTGGGCCTCTGTGAATTTATCAGTCATCAGTGTGCCTCTGGGTAAACATCAGATTTGGAACTCTTAACCATTCTGCCATCAATGCCACTATAGTCTTGCCTCAAATCCAGGCCTCCATTAACTGTTCCATGTTTTTTGTCTGATGTGGAATCTTGTGTTTTTACTTCATTAAAAGCCTTTCTGGTCTGAGCTTGAAACTGGGCCTTAGTCAACTATTACCCTATTAGTGCAACTGACCACTGGTCAGTTCTCACACCAGCGCCTCTCTGTGATGTTCTATCAGCTATAGTCCTCTAAACTGACCTTGAATTTTGGGATTCTGTTCATTGCGATCAGTGCCCTTTTGCTCCCTTGCAACCTTGAGGACCCTCAGTCCTGACCTTGAATCTGAGCCTCCATTAATTATTTTACCATTAATACCTTTATGGTGTCAATTCCACATCGGGATCCACATCCCAGTCTGTGGTACCCCAAGTGGGGGACAGTTGAACTGTGGTGCAGGCCCCACAAACCCTTGGTGACCTAGCAGTCAGCTCTGAAGCAAGCATTGCCAGTCCGAGCACAGGCCTGTTGGGAGGAAACGCCCAGCTTTGTGCCTCTGCCCAGCTCAGTCACCACGTGGGATGGCCTGGGCAGGGTGTAGCCTTGGGAAAGGCAGCTCTTCAAAGCTGAGCCCAACCCTGTGGAGCTGACAGTTGCCCAGCAAGTACTTCCTTGAAAGGGGTATGGATAGTGCCAAGAAAGGCATGAGGAAGGGGCTGCGAAAAGAAACAGATACACTACTTGGTAAGTAACGGGACCCAGGTAAAATCCTGGTCCCTCCATTACTCAACCCATGGCCCTGAGTCAGTCACCTCACCATCATTCTGTGGCCGTTTCCTCCAGACTCAGTTGAGGGTTGGGGAGTCATTTTATTTATGCTTCTGACATACATTGACTGAGTCTCTACAGTGTGCCTGGCATTTTGTCAGGACATAATAGTGAACAAAACCAGCAAAACCTCTGCCCTCAGGAGACTGACCTCAGTGATCCCTAAAGTCCATCTAATGTTACAGACTCAGAGCAGAGGTCGCCCCTGGCCTCACTTGTGATGACTGACACACAGTGGGCACCATGGCTTCCAATGCATATTCAGACAGATGACAGCGGGGGGGGGGGGGGGGGCTGGCGTGGAAGCTGAGGAAATAATCAGCTGCATTCACATCATTTACATGGTAACAGGAGGGAGGGAGCCACCGTGGGTTCTTGAGCAGGAGCGCAAAGAGGTAAGTGTGGAGTTTTAGAAAGGTTATTCCACCAGAAGTCAATAAGCAATGTGCAGAAAAAAGAACTTTTGACTGCATATCACCCTTCTCTTCACGTGGGTCAAATAAGGGAAAATATACAGCCAAGGCCAGGCCACGCTGCCAGTCTAGCTTGTGTTAAATGGTTAAATGTTCATTTTTGGTTTGTTCGTAGCCAAGTTATTGCCCGTCAGTGGCAGCAGTGATTGGGGTTTTGGTTTACGATCTGACCATTTGATGAGCTCTGTGAATGAATGAATGGATAGGTGAGAGACAACAGGGCAACTGGTTAGTTTGCACCTCTTGCAGCTCTTGCCCCAGGGCTAACAGTGTAGAATTGAAGCTTTAAGCTCTCTGTATTTACGTGATTGTCATTCAGTATGATGTGTGAGTATGTAATGTTTTCCTGTCCCCGGAAGACTTTAAACAAATTATTTTGTGAAGTCTCTTAAGTTAAAGGAGCTGTTCTGGCTGGCACATACAGAGAAATAAGCACTTATACAAATATTCCTAAAATTCCAAGAAAGTGAGGAAATTGAACTTCTAATACTTTAAGTGTGCTAGACTTGAAATGATTCTTCTTTCAGAAACTAACTTAGACTTTTAAAGAATCCAGGTTCAGGTCCTGGTCGGGTAGCTCAGTTGGTTAGACTGCTGTCTCAATATGCCAAGGTTGTGGGTTTGATCCCTGGTCAGGGCACACACAAGAATCAACCAGTGAATGCATGGGTAAGTGGAACAACAGATCTCTCTCTCTCTCTCTCTCTCTCTCTCTCTCTCTCTCTCTCTCTCTCTCTCTCTCTCTCTCATTTTGCACAGTGATAAAAATTGAACAGACTTTGTGGGGTCATCACACTGTAAGCTATGTACATGTCAAATTGCTGTATTGTACACCTGAAAGTAATATGCTATTGTATACCAAATGTACTTAGAAAAAAATTTTAAAGTGTTAACATTCATTTACTACCTGCCCACCCCCCACAACCCTTCTCCCTGCCAAGCACCACCACTGTCCCCTTCCTCCCCTCTTCTGATTGGAATTTTATAGCATAAATGTAGAAAAACATAACTTCTAACTGTGTCTTCTCTGGAATTTAAATAATCATCTGTGCATCCCTTGAACTGTGAGTTTGACAGTGCCCTTGCTTTCCACACACCAGCACCAGTGGGGAGGAAAGCAAGGGGCTCCTGGCAGAATGAGAAGAGGGTGTACAAAGAAAGTCTGTTCCTTGTCTGGCTTAACTTGGGACAGACCTAGGGGTGCATGAGACCCCCACATTGATGAGCCAAGAGACCCCATGGGAGTTGTGGAGCAAGAGTCTCCAAAGTCCTTAGAGGAGGTAGACATGGCCCAGAGACTGCCTGATATCTGTGGAAGGAATGACTTGCCCTGGGTGCTGGTGGCAAAGGACACGCAAAAACACCTGCCCACCACCTCTGCCAGCGTTGGGTGCTCTAGACTGGAGGTGGCCTCACAGTTGAAATACTGACAAGCGAGAGCTGATACATAGGCATATGCATGCAGTGCAACCCGAAGGATTGGCTGTGGATTGTTCAGACCCAGGGCTTTGAACATGGCCTGTAAATAACATGAATGAGGGTCACTCAAAATCAGCATGTCACCACCATACTGATGGCCCAATCTCATGAGATCTGTAAAAGAAAGCCACACTAGCTAGCATAAGTGACCCATTTGCTAGGTCAGATCCCCTGGAGCTGCCACGGAGCCCTGGGACAGCCTCATAGAGATAATAAGTATCAGCGTTCATCGAAATCTTTCTGACCCCATACTTAGGGTAAGGGTAAGAGAAAACGCCTTTGAAAAACAAAAGGTGGTTTGATTCCCAGTCAGGGCACATGTCTGGGTTACAGACCAGGACCCCAGTAGGGGGTGCGTGAGAGGCAACACACATTGATGTTTCTCTCCCTCTCTTTCTCCCTCCCTTCCCCTCTCTAAAAATAAATAAATAAATATGTATTTTTTTAAAAGTGGTGATTAGGGCCCATGGTCCAGACGCAGGGCACCTCACTCAAATGGAACTTCTGGCCCCAGCCAGTCCTAGCCGCTAGAGGGGGTTTTAGACCACTTTGAGGAAGGCAAGCCAAAGCATGGGGACCCCGGCTGTTCAGGACCCAGAGCAGGGGTCCTGTTGCTTGGTTATGGCTTGGTACAAGGTACAGTGGGTTCCATATCATCTTTCTTTAAGAAATTATTGACGCCCTGGCTGGTGTGGCTCAGTGGATTGAGTGATGGCCTGCGAACTGCCCAGTTAGATTCCTGGTCAGGGTACATGCCTGTGTTGCCAGCCAGGCGTCCAGTTGGGGGCGTGCAAGTCACATTGATGTTTCTCTCCCTCTTTTTCTCTCTCCCTTCCCTCCTCTAAAAGTAAATTTAAAAAAAGACGTTATTGAAGAGCGTTAGCTTGTAATATATTAGTGTGCTAGGTTTAAAATATATCTATAAATTCTTTGGTAGTCCTCCATTCAAGAGATGGTGCTTAATTCTCCCCGCCTTGAGAATGGGCTAGACTTAGTGACTCATTTCTAACAAACAGAATTTGGGGACATGACAACCTGTAACTATAAGAGGCATCAAAGCTTCCTTCTCTCTCTCTAAAAAAAAATAATAGTGTCTATAGCGTAGAGAGAGAAAGTACGTAGCATAGTACCTGCAACATGGTCAGTGCTCCGTGAAAATGAGAAGTTATTGTCAATAATCATTATTGAACAATGAGGCATCTTGGTACAGCTAAGACAAGGTGTTGAAGGTTGAATTATGTTCCCTCAAAAAGATATATTCAAGTCTTCGCCCTGGTGCCTGTGAATGTGACCTTATTTGGAAATCAGGTTTTTGCGGATGTAATTAAAATATACGTTAAAATGATATGGTGGGCTCTGAAGCCACTCACTAGTATCCTTATAAGAAGCAGAGACACACACGGAGAATGCCGTGTGACTATGGGGACGGAGATTAGAGTGATGTATTTGCAAGCATGAATCACCAAGGATTGCTGGCAACCACCTAAAGCTGGAGGAGGCAAAAAAGGATCCTCCCCCAGGGTCTTCAGAGGGAGCATGGCCCTGCCCACGGAACACCTTGATTTCAGACTTCCTCAAGACCACCCCCAGTTTTGATGACTTGCTTTGAAGACTCCAGACTCCATGTAGTCATTCTCAGAGTTACGATGTATCACAGTGAAAGGACGCAAAGCTCGATCGCCAAAGGGAAAAGGCCCATGGAGGGAACCAGGAACAAGCTTCTATGACTCCTCTCCCGGGGAGTCACACAGGACATGCTTAATTCCTCCAGCAGCAAACTGTGGTAACACATCAGAAAAGGAAAAACCACCTGAGCCAAAGAGTACAAGATTTTTTTAGAGGCCAGTCCCGCAGGCTCCCTCTGGCTAGCAGGTACCAAAGTCCCAGATTCACAAAAGGAAGGCAGGTGTTCAGTGTAAACCACAGTGTTTGTACAGTTTAGGCACAGCGAGCCACGCATTATTTGGAGAGTGGTGGGAATCCCTCCCACAATCTGAGTTCCCCGGGTGCTCAGGCTGCCATACAAGATAGCGCAGACTGGGGAGCTTAAACATCACACACTGGTTTTCTCACAGTCCCGGAAGTTAGAAGTCCAACATCAAGGTGCCACCAGGATTGGTTTCTGGTGAGGACTCTTTGTGATTTGTAGATGACCGCTTTCTCACTATGTCTTCACATGGCCTTCCCTCTCTGCGTGCAGGGAGAAAAGAGTGATCTCTGGGTTCTTCTCCACATAAGGGCACCAGCCCTATTGGATTAGGGCCTCACACTTGTGACCTTACTTAACCTTAATTACCTCCTTAAAGGACTCATCTTCACATATAGTTGCTTTGGGGGGTTAGGGCTCTAACATATAAATTTGGAGTGTAAGGGAACACAATTCAGTCCATAGCAATAATCAAGGGCCAACTTTGCAAGCAGGCTTTCCTAAGGACAAGTCTCGGGCCTGCTCTGCTCTTTCCTGCACAAGCTCCATACCAGATTCTAGAAGACTTGAAATGGCTGCCAATTACATTGCTCCCTGGGAGGAAGGGGTTTCCATT